GCGGCTAAAAGGTGCTTTCGGTGCTTAGCGGTAGTACGGTCGATTCGGGCCTAATCCTTAGGTTTGTCGTATTAGCCTAGTAGATAGCTAGTACTATTATAGTTAAAGCATTTCAATCCGGTTAGGGGATTGCTATAGCCGTTATTACTACTATTGTTAGTCGAGCGGTTAGTATTATAGGGATACGAGCCCCTTCTACGGCCCCTATTACGGCCTCCTCTATATAGTCGCCGGCTACGGCCTCTTCTACGGTTATTATTACTGTTCCTATTGTTAGTACTATTGTTTTAGTAGGAACCTTAGTTTCCTCCGCGGCTACGGTTGCTACGGTTAGTACTAGCTAGTCGGATCCTCGATTCTAGTCGTTACTAGAGCTAAACAGCCCGTTTAGCTGTTTCTACTTCGACTATGAATTAAATGCGTATAAGATTAGCTTATTCAAAAACACGGCGGCGGTCTAATTTAAGGACTAACTCCTATCTCAGTTTAGGTCGTATCTTAGATATCTAGATAGAGTCGGTCTTAGGTAGCAAATCGTCCTTAAGAGTCTTTAGATAGGCCTCGAAGGATCGAGAGGTTTAGTCGGCCTTTTGTTTAGTACGTAGGTATTAGTCTTAGGCGTGCTGCTAGCGCAATATAAGGTTACTAAGGGTGTTTAGTATAATAGTCTTATAGTCTTGCTACTAAACAGCGGTCTAATTAGTAAGGGAGTTAAAATAGTTATCCTAGGTGCGCTTTAGGTCTCTATTAATGTATTATATAGTATAGACGACTAAGGAATAGTTATCCGGCAGCGCTCTCGGTGTATTGCGCTAGTTAAGCTTATAGTTACGAATATAGTCGTTATATTGCTTTCGACTAGAGCTATTAAATACGGTGCAATCCTTGAGTTTAGTATCCTTCTTTTAGACTAAAATAGATAGTAAGGAAGGCCCTACTATTAGCTTAGTATTAGTTGCTAGGGCCTCCTATAGGCGGTGAATTTCGAGGAGGTTATCCTTTAGCTATTGTTCTTAACGTAAGGCAGTAAGCCTATTCTGCGTAGCTTCTTAAAGTCTCGCTATTAGCTAGGGGCTAAAGGCTAGTTAGCTATATCGTCGATTGACAATATTATTAAGAATATCGTTAATAGGCAATTCTAGATTATTACCTAGAACTATAGGTTCTTTAGCAGGCCCTTTAGCAGGCTCTTTAGCAGGCGCTTTAGTAGGCACTGCGCTACTAGTATTGTTATTGCTAGCGCTGCTAGCGGCGCCGCGGTTGTTGTTATTACTTCGTAATAAGCCGGCTATTATAAGGGGTAATACTAATAATGTATTATAGGCCCCTATAATACGGATATAGCGGAATTAGTAGGTATCGGCCTAATATAATTAACTTAGTGTAATAGGCCGTATAGAAGGCCTTGCTTAATGATTAGTACGGTTGTTTTAGTAGAATAGTACGTATAGGTCCCGTTCTTCGGGCGTAATATAGTTAAATCGATAGTTTTCGTAGCTATACCGCTAAAAGCTTGAAATAAGGACTATCTAGCTACTGCCCTTAAAGGGTAGATTGAATACTATATAAGAAGGGTTATATTAGCAGGTAGATAGGGTAGTAGTAGGTATAGGTAGTATTCGATAGAGATCTAAAAGGAGAGGGAGGAAGGTAGGCTAGTTAGCCTAACGCTAAGTGCTAAGCCCTGCCTAAGGCATTAGGACCCTAGCTTTACTCGGTCTAGTTACATGCTAATTACGTATAACCTCTAATAAAAGTCGAGAAACTCGTTATAGTAATAAGACGGGATAAGGTAGAGAGCCTCGCTCTCGTTTTATATAAGGTATAACTTTTATCTATAGCCGGCACCTATAGCCGGTAACCTAGTATAGTTCTAACTCTTTTTCTCTAGCTTCGTCGTCTAGTAATATATACGAACTCGAGCTTATAGAGATATAACCGATTCGAGGCTATTTAAAAGAACCTAATCGAGCGCCCTAAAACCGATACCTAGAATATCGTATAGAATAAGCGATAGTAAAAGCGGCCTCCTTAGCGCCTACTCCGTTTTACCTAAGACGTTAAGACCTAGTTCGATTCGACTTTCTATATAGTTACGAAGGGATATACTTTACGTACCGCTCTCGAGATCTATTAGAGTTCCGAGGGTATTAAGTAGCTCGCGCTTACCGCCGCTAAATAGCGCTAAGTAGAGTATCTCGTCGATATTAGTAAGTATTACGCGAAGGTTACTACTACGATTAGAAGAACCCGAGGACCGACGATCTATAGTTTGCCGACTCGACCCTAAATAGAGGCCTATCTACTAAAATAAGAAAGCTAGGGAAAATAGTAGCATAAGGGATTATCGATACGATACTAGATAGACGGTTCGCGTATATACTAGTATATACTAATCTTCGCAAGTTCTACTACTACTTAGTAGTTACTTAGCAGATAGGCTAAGAGCAGTAAAGCGTCCTACGAGTCTTATTAGTTATATTTGTACTACTACTCGAAGAGGTCCGTTAACTATAGGCGATAAGATTTCTACGTATACTAGTAGACTTTACCGTTCTAGCGATATATAGATACTATAACGACGAAACAGTTAAGTATCTAAGGATAGCATTATACCGGATAAACTAATAGAAGAATATATTTCGCCTATATAGGGTAATAAAGGTATAGAAGAGAGCCTAGCGGGAGGCGAAGGCTACTACGTAAAGAACGAACGATTTAGATAACGACGATATAGTTATAATAAACGAGGACGACGAAGCTAACGAGCTAATAATAACACAAATAGAAGGGTACTTTAATATACCGGAATTCTACGCTATAACATATGCCCCGAGCTATATTAAGACGTTCGGCAATCTTCTAGACTTAAATACTAGCTATTTCGAGCACAAATACTATAAACTACTAAAGCTTGCATTTCGGCTAATAAATAAGAAGCCTAGCTAGGAAGAAAGTATACTAGATAGCGATACTAATAGATTAAATATATAGGCCGAAGACGATAAAGAATATATAGCAATCCCTATAAGTGCTCGTACCGTTAAGAAGTATATATAATAGCTAATAATGCTAACTATAGTACGGCTAGTAGAGAATATCCTAGGATACTAGCTCGAGAAACTAAGGAACGGAAAGAAATCGGTTAAGTAGATTACGATAAGGGAGGCTATAGCTATAATAGAAGAGAACCTAGATCGCGACTTCTAATAAGCGATTGCGGTATTCGTACGGCAATAGGGTGCCTACGATAAGAATAGCGTATTAAGTACCGTAGCCGACTCTAACGATATCGTAACAGACTATATATACGTCCTAGATATAGAGATCTACTTCTACGGTAGAATCTAATACTAGAAGCCTATAGGTAAGGATATAGAATATCCTAACGTAGTAGTAGCTAACTTCGCGAGATATATACTAAACTAGGAGAGGCTCTAAGGTAACAGACGTTATAATTTTATATAGGTATAGGAATATAACGTTAATTATATAGAAACACCTAATAAATTAGCGGTTCGATTCGGCGGTCGCCTACTAGCGTAACTAAAGTACGTAATCTCGATTAATATAGAAATAGGAATTAAATATAGAAAGAGGCTTAGGACGAAACGGAGGCCCGTTATAGGCGTTTTTATTAAGCTTTACGACTATATTAACGATAAGAGCGAGTATAAGGATGCGTATAGTCTAACGACAATCCGGCTATAGCGTCTTTTACTATACTATAGTAGACTTAAAGGGCAACGGGTATATAGCCTACTACTAGTCTATTATATATTATACGCTATACCTATAGACGAAGGCGCCCTATATAGGACTCGCTATATTAATAGTATAGTTAATTTCGAGACATATAATACAATTTACGACGAGAAATAGGGGGATAAGGAAATACGAGCTATAAAGGCTTATAGGCGAGTAATAAAAAGGCAACGTACCGAGTAGAGTATATAGAAATCGTATCTCCGAAATATAGAGGATAATAATACTAAGGCGGCGAAGAATAATTTTATAGTTAATAGAGAACGTATAAGACAGGATATAGCAATATATAGTAACGACGGTTAATAGTAATAGTAATATACTTAAACCTATAGTACTACTAGTATATTCTAGTTTAGACTAAGTCGACTAATATAACTAAGTTAACGAGTCGATAAGTATTAATATAGCAATATACGAATAGTATAAACATTACTAACGACTACGACTACGAGCGACCTAGAGCGACTCTATATATATAAAAATTTACCTAAACGATCCTATCGATTACGTCGATTACGTCGATTCTATCGATTCTAAGCGATCTAGGCGCGAGTCGGGTCGCCGCGTCGCGACTTAGTCGCTTAGGATCGCTTAGGATCGCTTAGAATCGCTTAGGATCGCTTAGGATCGCTTAGGATCGCTTAGAATCGATAGAATCGATAGGATCGACGCGATTAGAAAAAAAGTTTTTATAATAAAGATATTATACTTTAATTTATTAAGGAATACTAATAAAGTAGAGCAGTTCTAGTAGTACGCGATTCTATACGAGTTCTACGCGTTATAGGTACGAGATATAGTCTCTACTAAGCGGCCTCTTCTGCCCTATCTAACTATTCTCGATACTTAGTATCTAGATAAGGGTATAAGACCTACTTATAAAGGCCGCTTAATAACCGGAGCGGCCTCTATAGGTCCGCTTTAACTATTACCTAATAGAGCCGCTAAGAGTGTCCGGATCTAGTATATCCGAAGGTGTTAGTATTAGCGTACGAGGCTGCTAAAACTCTCTACTTGCGACGAACTTTCTTGTCTCTAACACTTAGTCGGGCTTGTAATACGTACGGTAGATATTAATCTGCTCTTATTATTTATACAAAACCCTTCGCCTAGCCTACAAGCTTCTAACGGCTATTTTCTATTTGCTTAGTTGCTATTAACTGCTTGATCCCAAACTACCGGGTAATACAGTAATTAAGCTAATTTCTCGGTAGTAGCACCCGAGATTGATCCTAACCGTTCAACTTATTTTCTTATTACTATGTTTGTAGGTGCCGACCTCTTATTACTACGCGACGAACTTGTCGTGCTCTTCCCGTTTCCTGTTCGTCCCTCGTCCCTCCAATTTTCAGCGACCTTCTGAGACATCACTTGCACAGCCAAGACGAGCGGTCCAAAATTTGTACGAATCGCTGGGGGCTCGTGGCTGGCTCGCATGACAGGCGTGGAGCTACTAGCCACAAGTGTACGCCAGCAGTGATCGAGGTCCTCGGTGCCGCATGGCGATAATTTTCCGACAAGACATCTTCGTAGGCGTGCGTAGGAGTGAGACGGTCGCTGTGCTCTTCGCAAAGCCATGTCTTGCTTCGCTTGCTAATGTCTAGCTATAGTTCTAGTTCTGGTAGCCTTAGCAGCATGCTTCTACTATTGGTGCCTTGTAAAAGGGCCTAGACGCTGGAAGCGGGGGATTAGGGCCTACTACTATATCTTCCAACTAAGCAACTAACGACTACATAGCATTAAATATTGTAGTAACACGGTCGCAAATGCGACTACTATATGTTATCTTATATACTACATCTTCTTATGTATATTAAGTACCTGCAATAGTATTGTTCGTACCGCATCTACCTAGAAGCCGTATTTTTAGCACCTAGCTAGCTTTAGGCCGTTCCCTTCGAATCCGTATACCTCTACTATATATATATATACTATACCTATACTTACAAAACAAGACGAGAACCTAATATAATAGGCCTTAGATAATAGTATAGAAGCCTACCTTGTCGTTAAAATGCTACTTAGCAACTATCGTAGCTCGCGGACTGCTATTTAGAACCGGATTACGAGGTAGAAGAAGACAGCGACTATATTTCTAGTAAAAGGTAGAAGGCCGCATATTATAATACCGGCTATGCGTAACGATCTATTAGACTTCCTAACAATAAGAAGTATATACTAGCTCGAAGAGATATAGATAATATTGCTAGAAAATCACTAAGAATAGGTCTTACAATCGACTATTAGTCGCTATCTTAGCAGCAGTAACTTTATATACAAATTGCTATCTCGTACGGCTTTACAAAGAGACCCTATTATAAGGGTACTATTTGAGGCTAAGTTATAGTTATTTGCGGCCTTCTAGATTGTATACCTTAACGAGTCTTATGCTTTAGATAAGACAGCCCTTCGAAGGCGTAGATAGTTACTAAGAGGTATACTAGCAAGGGATGTCTAGTATCTATACTATTTGTAGCGATACACGATCCTTCTAGTATACACGATTAATAGCTATCTTCCGGAGCTACTAATATAACAAGGCAGTGTTAATAGTAAAGACTTTATAGCATTCGTACGCTATCGAGTATTACTACGTTATACGCTATATCTAGGTCTACGGTTAGTTATACTGCTAGACAACTATAGTACCTATTTAAGAGCTATTCTAAAGGAAATGTGCTTAGCTAAGGGTGTATACCTGCTCTTCCTTCTACTATATTCGTCTAACTATAACGCTATTAAATTGAGCTTTAAGCACCTAAAGCACTAGATTAAGAAGCACTAGCAGACAATGCCTAAATATAGGTTACCTTACTAGTAGGCAGACTTCTAGGCATACCTAGAATTAGCATATAAGCGATAGGGTAACAATATTAATTACCTAGCGCAGTTCAAGCACTACAAAGTGCTCGAGAAGCTATATAAATATAGTCTAATACTGCCGGCGGAGATATAGAATAGGAGGCAGTAATTGCGATATACGTTAAATTCTAGCTCGATTTGTGTGTAGAGTGCTAAGACCTTTTATACTATAGTAAATCAATACTGTATTCTCTTCTAAGGAACTTCTAACGGTTGCCGTTTATACTATTGCTACTAGAAGTCATTATATCGTCTCTTAAAGGCGTAGCAATTTCGAGGCTTAGTACGTCGGAGCAAATTTTAAAATGTCCGACATTCAGCTGAATACTATATATTATTACAACAACACTACATTATTAATATTATAATAGCCGGCAATTTAATAACAGGTGCGGCGCTATTATATAAAAAAACAACGATATAAATCGCATGTATAGTTATAGTGTAATCTATCGACAACTAAAATTAATATTATCGGCTAAGCTTAAAGGTAGTAAGGAAAGCGGAGGTAGGGCTTAGAATAGCAAATTTGATGTTAAACATTCAGCTATTAAAGATTCAACACCTATATAGCGCTAGAAGTCAACTATACTCTATCTAAATCAATCTATATAAAGCACGCGGTCTACCTATAGTATTACCTCTTATACCTCTAAGTTATAGAACCAAAATCGGATAGGTAGTTGTAGTAATCTAGACAGCTAGGGTTAGCAAAGCTAGCTTGTTGTTATGTCGGCTTCGTACCTCTTAATTTCGGCTACTTTAACGCATTATAGCAAAGTCTATAACTCGCTTACGAAGCGCCTATCTAATGCCGAAGGCCGGCACCACTCTCGCTAACCTATTCTTATTCTCTTAGCGTCGCAGTTGTCTTAAATTCTAGGCGTTATCTATAATAGCTTTAGTAATAGCCTCCTACCTATCCTGCTATATCGGATACTATTAGAAGAACTAGACTAAGAAGAGAGGTGTCTCTATATAGTTACCTAATATAGTGCTAATATCCGGCGGCACTAGCGAGCTACAGAGCTGTTGCTATAGTATAGATTAGACCTGCTATTAAGGTTGCAGAGCGCTTATAATAGCAGGGTTAGCTATTATTAGCTAAAACAGCATCGGGTTAAACTATTGCTACTGTTGCTACTATTGCTGCTATTGTTGTTACTAAAGCAAGGCTATAAGCAAGATAGACTCGCTGCCGCTACTACTATTGCTAGTCGGTTGCTATCGCTCGGCAGTAAGGGCGCCTATAAGACTATCGATTGTATACTGTTGCTAAGAAGCCTTATTCTTCGCAGAAGCGGCGGTCTTAGCCTGTACGTATTCTTCGTAAGAAGCGACAATCTTGTCGGCAATCTCTATAGGTATATAGTATAGAAGAGCGCTATTAATTCGGACTATATTAGCAAATTCCTTTGCGTAAGAGCCTATTATACTGTAATAGACTCTACGGCGCTTGTAATAGCTAATTCTACGACCTAACTTCTTATTATCGCACTAGTAATTATTGCATTTAAACTGCTTAAATACTGTCGAGAATACCTCGTCGTCTTTACGGCATTCTTCCTTCGTCTTATTATTAGTGTTCTTTCGGCTATTCTTAACCTAAGAGGCTAGTTGTAGCGGCTCTAGTAGATCGCTATTAATCTTAACAAACTAATTACTATTTAGTAGAGTTGATAGTCGATTAGGTATAGCAACGCGCTTATAGCTCTTAAGGACCTTAATAACATAGTAAGTATTAGTATTAGCGCAATAGCGCAGGAACTTAGCTACCTCTTTATAATAGTCGTCCTCGTAGATAATATTATAGAAAGTCTTCGAGCGCTTCGGTATAGATAGCCGTATACAGTAGATAGTAAATATACGGTCTAGCTGTTATTATAAGCCGAGCCCTTCTATAAAAACCTATAAGGCTACTCTGTCCTTAACCTTCCGTATTAACTGCGCTATCTTATTGTTATTTAGCCTCGAGTAGGCAAAGTCTATGTTATTATCTTCTAGTATATCATTTATAGTTATAATATTGTGCTGTTTGCCGTATAATCGATACTAAACGATCTATATAAGATCTGCGCTAAAGGGCTTCTTGTTCGCTCGTAGCTTCGGCGTTAGTATAGCTTTAGGCGTACGTAAAGTCGGTCGGCGTCGCGAGCTAGCTTCTAAGTGCGATTTCTTAACAACGCTATTAGATATCGACAATAGCTTAGTAGGAGGTTTATTAGACAGGTCGGCGCTATTATTCTGCCGTTTAGATAATGTTTTGCGGGTCTTGTTTCGTAGTGTTTTGCCCTTAGTCGATTTCCGCTTACGCGAAGAAGCTAGCTTTACGCCCGTAGCTAGCACCTTCGGCGCCTCTATAGGCGACTAGTCCTTCTTAATACTCTGTCTTATATAATGCTAACCCCCCTTAGCGGGCATACTAGTTCTACGAGACGCTAGTTTTAGTGCAATTACTAGCCTCGGCGGAACTGTCTTCCTACGAATAGAAGGCTCGGAAATAGACTTAGAGTGTGTATCTAGGTATTAGGGTCTATTACGTGCCTAATGCCTAAGGCTGCAACTGCTGCACTTTATCTTCGGACTTCTATATAGATTAGTCCTTCTTCTAATACATTAGTTACATTAAGTGGTTATAAGCCCCCCTACGTTTCTAACGCATTCTATACGTATTCTAATAGTTACTCCGATAGCTACGTAGATAGCGCTCGTTACTAAAAATTGCGCCGACACTAATATCGTCGCCGCCGCCGCCGCCCTCGAGTATTCTAGCAGGTGCTAGACCCGAGTCGGTTACTATTAGTATTAGCTGTCCGCTACACCGGTTCCTAATAACAGTGTTAGCTGTCCGCTACACTAGAATACAGGTGCGCCTATCGGCCGCCTCTTAAGACTACATTATCGCCGTCGCTGTTCGCAATAGCTCCCCCTACAACTACTAACGCTTATATAAGCAACATCCCTAAGCTAAAGAACAAGGAGAATTGTCTAGCATAGGCCTATGCCGCTAAAGGCGCCCTTAAAGGTATATCGGTCTAGCGCTGTATGCAAGGCACCCGCTAGCGACCCCTTTCTAAGGCCTCTAGTAAGTCTTCTAAGGAGTTTGAAGACCGCTAAGACGAATGCGACTCTAAAGATCAAACAGTACGTACCTAGATCTTTGCTAATTGTGTTAGTAATATTTAACAATTACTGCTTAGTCTGTCTATATCCTAGGAAGTATAGGACTTCCTTAAGAAGAAATGTACTAGTAAAGGTAGGTCTACCAAATTCATACTCTGCTAGGAATATATTACCCTTCGGTATAATAGCAAGGACATTAAGAAGTTCTATAATAAGTACAGGAAGAAGCTCGGTACCTTAAAGGACACTAAATTGACTATTAGCTAATATTAGGCTGTCTACATATTTACTATACAAATCGCACCGTTCTACGAGGCTTTCGTACAGATGCGCCGTAAGCAAATGCGCGCCTTAGAATACACTATTAATAATAGCACCCTTAACAACATTATTAGCGCGTTGCTTAATAAGAACGTAGCTTAACTGAACTAGGCCTAATACAATAGCTTCTTCGGTCTTTAACGCTAACTATAATAGCAAGGTAGCAATAGCAACGGTCGAGGTAACTCGAACCGTAGCGGTCGTAGTAGCCGCGGAAGCAGCAATAGTCGTAGTCGTAGTAGAAACAACTAGAATAGTCAAAATCGCGAGAA